TTGTTCAACTTTCCCTTTCTAAAGCCCACACTCATATATGGCTTTTTAACCCAAATAACTGGGCCAAAAGTATATATCCCCATCGATTGTCAAGGGTACCATCCTAATCCCTTAGCAGCATAGCCAGATATTTACAGAAACCAGGCAAGACAGAAGCCAAGGATTCCACAATATAGGTTGGGAACTGCAACCCCTTGTTGATTCCTTTAGCCAGTGCTAAGTTCAGTCTTCCAAGTAGGTGGCCTACATTCATTATGCAATACTTCATCCACATAATCTCTACACAAACAAATTCCTTCCACCTAAACTCATGCCTCCATGATCAAACATTGGGCTATTCACAAATGGAAAAGATATTCCAAAACTAGCTAATTTCCAGATTTTCAACATGTTGAAATAAAAAACTAATTTAAATTTAAATTACTATCAAGATTAAGAATAGAAATAAGGCACAATAGTTCCAAAACCAGAATAAACTCAAATTGCCTGCATTCATCATACAATACATCATCCACATCTAATCTCTACACAAATGGAGTCCTTCCACCTAAATTCATGCCTCTAGGATCAAACATTAAGCTATTCATGAATGGGAAAAAAAATTTCAAAACCAACTAACATTTAGATTTTCAATATGTTGAAATAATCATCTAATTTAGACCTAAATTGCTATCAAGATTAACAATAGAAATAGGACACAACAGTTCCAGAAACTAGAACAAACTCAAGTTGCCTACATGCATTATGCAATACATCATCTACTTAATCACTACACAAATAAATTCCTTCCACATAAACTCATGCCTCCATGATCAAACATTCAACTATTCTCAAATGGAAAAAATATTCCAAAATCAGCTAATGTATAAATTTTCAATATGTTGAAATAAGCAACTAATCTAAACTTAAATTATTATCAAGATTAAGGATAGAAATAAGGTACATCAGTTCCAAAAACCAGAACAAACTTAGGTTAGTTGCATTCATTATGCAATACATCATTTGCATTTAACCTCTACACAAAAAAAATTCTTACCACTTAAACTCATGGATCAAACATTGAGGTATTCACAAGTGGAAAGATATTCCAAAACTAGCTAATATCTAGATTATCAATATCTTGAAGTAAATAACTAATTTAAAATTAGATTAATATCAAGATTAAGGGAAAAAATAGGGCACAACAATTTCAGAAACCAAAAACTTAGTTTGTTTACCTCTTTGAAGGATTCTTAGACTCAACCAAAATCGGAGTTATAGGGACCATAGAAGTTGATAGAATCAAAGTTAGAGTTGGCTAAACCATCAAAGAAATTGGAGTTGGTCGAGTCTCCAGGATCTGAGTTGCAAAGACCACAGAAATGGACGGAGTTTAAGTCAGAGTCAACTAAACCGATGAAGGAATTAGAGTTGTTCGAGCCTCCAGAATCGAAGTCCCTTGATCATCTAGACAGATGTACGACAGGTAGCAGGGTTGACTGAAGAGCAGATTGTGACAAGCTACAACCACTAGTTGTCCAATGCTGCCAGACAGGATGTCAGAACAGTGAGTGGCTGACGAAAGTTCACTGTCAACTTAGAGGTTGTCCTCCTTCGAATGAGGTGACCAAGTGTTGGGAAAACCCTTGCCATTTTGATTGTGGATTCTTGAGAGTGTTTGGTAGTGTTTCAAAATTCAAAGTTCTCCAATTTGAAAAATGGTACCGTGTGCGCGTATGGAATAACTACCTCTCATTTTCTTTGCCTCGTCTGGGCTGGGCTGGACTTTGTTACCACGGAGGCCCAACCATCCTCCCTTTTCACTATCTCTTAAAATTTAAAGTTTTGAGTGCAATGCGTGGCCGCCACTTGAAAGTTGACAATAGTTTTGTTTTTTTAATTTTTTTTCCTTGATTGATTGATGTGAGTTAGCAATAGATTTTTACTTAAAAATTTTATATTATAATTTAAATTTATTTGAATTAGATAAAGAGAGAGCAGATTTCATTATCGGTGAAAGGTGGAATGACCTTAGTTGCTTCGGATCTCCACCGTTGAGCAAATTCCTGGAAGGTCTCCTTACTCTTCTTGATAATTCTCTACAAGTTATCCCTTGTAGGGGCCAAGCTGATGTTGTACTCATATTGCCTTATGAAAGCTTGAGAAACATCTTTGAAAGTATGTATTTTCTTCTTGTCAAGCGTTGAAAACCAAACACTTGCTGGGCCTGAGAGACTGTCTTGAAAATAATGAATGAATACCCTTTCATCATTGGCATAAGGTGCTATCTTCCTAGCATACATCTGCAAGTGGGCATAAGGATACCTTGAACCATCATACTTGTCAAAATCTGGCTGCTTGAACTTGAAATTTTTTTCGGATTCCTAGATAGTAGCAAAGATCATCCAAATCAATAAAACCATAAGCTTATGGCCCTTGCATAGCTTTCAAAACCTCTTCCAACTGTTGCAACTTGTGATCGACCTCCTTTGACTTCCCATCCTCCAAAGCAGGCCTCAATATCTCAACCGAAGGAGTAGGTTGAATAGTTGGTACTTGTCCCATCGAAGGTGGTATGTTAAGGGCAAAAGGTGTGGTTGTGGGTAAGGTTGGGTCATTCATCTCAAGTGGCAGGCGTGGAGTTTCAACTGACAGAGATGGTATTTGTGGCACATGTGAAGATGACTCCCCCATTAAAGGCTGATTCTCATAAATAGGTGGAATTGCAATTGTGTGATGATGGGATCCTTAGCACAATTACCTGGTGTGATGGTAGATGATGGAATATGGATGGGTGGAGCTAGTGTTGTGGGCACTAAGGATGTAGGTGAAGGAACCAAACCAGTAGTCAAAGTAAACAAAGTAAGGCTAATAGTCTAAAGAGTAGCAGCCATAGTTTGCATTGTAGCTTCCAACTTATCAACCCTCTCATCCACGGTCGATTTCTTTGGATTAGTAGCGGTATTTTCCTCAAATATTTTGATTACTGTAAATCTAAACAAATAAGGAGAACGCCGCCTTTTGAAGTTCTTTTTTGCCTTTATAGCTATGATTATAAGAACTTTTACCTAAGAACAAAAATAAAAACAAAAGGCAAAAATTAGAAAACTGAAATGACTTTAGCCCTTTTTTATTGGACCATCAATTTGCCCTTTGAAGTTCCATATGAATTCTCACATCGGCGTTCCCATGTTGTACAAAGATATTTTCCTATTTTACAATGAGTTGTGCTAAAACATGAATGCAGTTTAAACAGAGTTAGCAAGCATTACAAAGTTGCATTCAAAGTGCTTACAAGCTTTCATTTTTTTAAAGCTTAGACAAACTAAGGAATGCAGTTTAAACAATCCTATTTCGTAAAGATTCTAGACTAGATTAGATATTGGAAGTAGTCCATGGGTTGAGAGTTCAACTAGTAACCGAAAGGTAAACTAATTGAGCCAAATGGGCTTATCAAATATCAATTATGGATTTTTTTTTAAGGTATAAAAAATCAAGACATTGACATTAAAAAGATTAAAATATTTAATCAAAATCACCTAATGAGTAACATATAATGTAAACTTCACTTAAGGCTTGATTGAGAAAATGTCAAATATGTTTTTTTTTTTTTTTTGGGTATGAAGACAACTACGTTATGCATGTATGGATATGTAAATGTAATTTTTAATTTTGTTTAGGCCTCATGAAAGAGGTTCTTGTGGCATTTGTCCAATTAGCTTTAAAAGCTCAAATACTGAGAGTTCAGAATGTTTCTTAGTTGGCCTAATATATGGCTTGAATTGAATTGAATGGCTCAAAATTGTTTTTGAATTCACAAGTTACAATTGCCCAAAAATTTTCATATTGGGCTTTCTAAATAGGCCATACAAATTTCAATGCATGACTTAAAATAATAATAAATAATAATAATAATAAGGTGGATTTGCATTTAATATTCTGCAAAATGTTATTACAGTTGCTTAACTCAGATATTGCAATTGAATAAGAAATTTTGCACAAATTTTGAACTTTTTATATAGAGATGGTATCTATTTATATAAAATTTTAATTATTTATTTTTTTATTATAAGTTATTGAGATTTATTTTTTTTATTATAAGTTATTGAGATTTATTCTTTTATTTTATTTTTAAAGATAATTGTCTCTTTTTTATTAAAAAAAAAAAGATAAATTCTAATTATTCATAGTAAAAAGATGAATAATCAACATTTTAAATAAGTGATGTGAGTAAGAATTATGAATGTTAATTCTTTTATAAATACTGTATAGACAATACTTATTTCACTTGTAATCACCCTTTAAATGTGATGGGTGTACCTTAATCTTTTATATATACTGTATAGATAATAGTTATTTTAATTGTAGAAATAATTTTACCTATTTTCTCATCTAGATCTTTGACTTGATTACTTACAAATCATCTTATCCAAAACAACTAATTTAAACTCAAATTACTATCAAGATTAGGGAGAAATAAAGCACAACAATTCCAAAAACCAGAACAAACTCAAGTTGCTTGCATACATTATGCAATACATCATCTGTGTTTAATCTCTACACAAACAAATATTCCTTCCACCTAAAGTCATGCCTCAAGGATCAAACATTGGGCTATTCACAAATGGAAAAGTATTCCAAAATTGACTGATATCCAGATTATTAATATGTTGAAATAAAAAACTACTTTAAACATAGATTAATATC